ACGTTAAAAATTTAAATGCATTTTTTTATCGATTTTGAGTGTATTTATTTGAAAACCAATTAAATGAGAAGAAATATGAGTAAAATAAGTGTTTTGGTAATGGTCTTACTACGAATGATAATGGATGACAAGTGACGATTGCCAACGATGACAACAAGAGTTGATGATCTTTTTGTAGAAAAATGAGGAAAAACGATAATATCTAGGGATGAGTATGGGTCAGATTTTCGTTCTACTCGACCCAACCTAAAAATATTAAATCATCCACTCGACTTGAACCCAACCTGAAAAACATACCCCTTCCATCCGACTAAAACCCAACCCGACTTGAAATAATATATTTATCAAAAATATTATTTTTATTTAATAAAAATAAGAATTTCATTGAAAGAAAATAATATATAGAGAGAAATTATTACAATTTTCTCTAAATATGTAAGGTAAAATTATAATTTTTTTGGTCAGGTAGGATCGGGTATTTTCACGCTGAACCTGACTTAACCTAAACATAACTTAAAAAAAACCCGACTTGAACCCATTTTTTTAATAAAAATCTGACCCAATGAGGTCAGAACCCGTCGGGTTCGGGTCCCATGCCTATCCCTAATAATGTCATTATATTGTTAATGTTCAGTGCTTAAATTAAAGTATTTTAAAATTTAATGAAAAAATTAATACATAACCTAAAGTTTACTGACTAACCTTGTGATTTTGCCTAAAGTGAATTTTAGTATTTGATATCTATATTTTTAAGGGTAAAGTACATAAATGGTCCCATGACTATATAATATTATTTTATTAAGTTAAAAAATGGTCCCTCAACAATTCATTATGTTCCAAACTAGTCCCTTTTCATTAAAAATTAGCAATCATCTAAGTTGGATGTTAACATGCTGACTGAGATATGATAGTCGTTTGAGATTATGAGATAAAATTTTATCATATCTCAGTCAGTAGGTTGATGTATAGCTCAGATAATCGTCAAATTTTTAGCGAAAAGAACGAGTTTAGAACATAATGATTAGTTGGATGACCCTTTTGTAACTTTCAAGGGACTCAACAAAGCAACATCCTATAGTCAAATGACCATTTTATAACTTGTAATAGCTAAAGGACTTAATAAAGAATACCATATAGTCAAGAGACAATTTATGTACTTTACCCTATTTATAATCTGAATAATTATGTGCTACTAATTATTCTTGTTAAAATGCTAATAAGTGAAAGAGTTTTTTAAGAGAAAAATCTATCTCGACATTTTAATAGTAGTAAACAATATTAACTAGTTGAATTAAATAACACTATTATAAAAATAAATATTAAAATTTTTAAATTAAAGTATAAAGGTTGGATGACTCCCGTTAGTCAACCCCTTTTTCTTCTCCAGGAGAATTAAGTGCCACGCAAGTAAAAATCTTTCTATATTTTAAATTATTTTAAATTAAAGTATAAAAGTTGGATAATATCATAAAACTAGGTTATTTCATTAAATAACCTGGAGAAGAAGAAGAAGAAAAAATAACGTGGGGAAGAAGAGGAGTTGGTTGATGGATTTGAGTGTGGAAGTGAAGTCTCGTTTGAGTAGTATTTGGAGAAGTGGAATTTTAAGAGGAAGAGGAGGAGGAAGAAGAAATAACTTGGAGAAGAAGATGTGACATCCCAAACTACGAGTTAGTGACTAAATTATAAAATTTCAGAATTTGGTGATTTAAAGTGAAAAAGTTGAATAGTTCAATGATTTATTTTAAAGTATTTCCTGAAGGATTGTTAGTAATTATTAAAAGAATCAAAGGGCAAATGAGTCATTAAACAAGGAAATAATTAAATTATTATTATTGGGGTATTATAATACCACGTAGAGAATGTGTAGGAAACAAATGTTTCCAGATTACTCTTCTTTCTTCTTTCTTCATCTTCTTCTTCTCTCATACGTGAAAGCTCAAAGGCAAAGGTAAATTTCCTTGTTAGCTGATTATTTGTTAATTTAAAGTAAGGGTTTTGATCATTAGGTGATACTTAAGCTTAAGGAAAGTTTAAGTTGTCTTAAAATCAAAAGATGAAGAAGTTATGAAAGATTAAAGAAAATGAGTTTCAAAGTGAATTTTTGAAAAAGAGTTAATAAATGAACTTTGAGATGGAATTTGACTTGTCATAGGTGTGAATAAGAAGTTATAAGAGTTAGAATTAAGTTTAGATAACATGGAAAATTTGGTTTGATTCTTAGTTTTAAGAATCATGATGAGATATGGAAGATAAAGATAGCTTATATGGATATAAGTTGGTTTAACTAATAGTAGTTGAGTTTAATGGTATGAAAGGAGTTTTGTATGAGGAAATTTAATGAAAAGTTGTGGAATTTTCGGGTGAAACCAGTTTATTATTGATAGGTGCATCGATACACTATGAATGGGTACTGATGCACTAAGACAAATTTTAAAGGTGTATCGATACATTAAGGGGTGCATCGATGCATGGGAATTTTGAACCTAAATTGTGTACCGATACATCCATAGTGTATCGGTACACTCCTAAAGGAAAAGTTGAAGTTTGGTGTATTAAATTAGCCAAAGTTATTATTATCAATTTATAAGGTTTAGGCTTCTCATAATCGTCTCAAAAATTATGTTTATGTAGATATTGAGCATAAACAAGTTCTGGAACAATCAAAGAATTAGGGTCGAATCAATGCAAGGCTAAGATGAGTGCAATTTAATTTCTACTTATGTTATTGATCAAACATTGACTTGCGATGAGCCAGTGACAGAGTTACTATGGTAAGAAGTGACTCTTGAAATGTTATTTGATTTGTGAATGATGTGATGCTTATGTGAGCATGAGTATATGAAAATTGGTATATGTGTCATATGTTATTATATGTGACATGATTTACATAATTACATGTATATGAGATATGTGATATTGATATAAGTAATTATAGGAATATGTAATATAAGTGATGTGATATGTCAGAAATATTATTTTATGTGACCATGATCGATGTGAACATATGAAAGTAAAATATGAGTGATTATGTAAACTGTGAGATAAGTTATATGGCATTGATATACAAACTATATGAAAGTATGAACATGAGTACATATATATGTTTATATGAATACAATAAGTATTATATGAAATGTGACCATGTGATATGAATATGATATGTGAACATAAGTGACTAATTGACATGAGCTATGTGACTATATGAAAGCTAGAACATGTGACATGACATACATGATAAGAGGATATGATACTCTGTAAGAGTATTACATGATATGAAATAATGAGTTATGAGTTATATGCATTTGAGATATATGTTTACACATACATGTGGTATGTAACAGAAAATATGAAATATGTGATCAAAAGAGCAATGATATGAATCATAATGATAGTGCCCATGTTATGTGATATGAGAGCTATAGATATAGTTGGCATGCCAAGAGTCGAAGGTTACCTATGTTCTTCGGGACATATGGACAAGATTACCTATGTCTTTCGGGACATATGGACATTATTATCTATGTCTTTTGGGACATATGGACAGTATTACCTATGTTCTTCGGGACATATGGACAATTTACCTATGTTCTTCGGGACATATGGACAGTTTACCTATGTTCTTCGGGACATATGGACAGATTATTATACGAGCTGTGTGCACAGCATATGTGTGCACAACCTCAGTGTACTCACATACCTTAAGTTCTCAGTAATGCACATGGACTAATAAAGAGATAATAACAACTACAATATATGTTATGTATATGCTTTTGGTAATATGAAATGTTTCACAAGAATTATATGATGTTATATGTGTTATACGATACACAGAAAATATAAGTATAAGATCATATGATAAATGGGCTTATAACATGTATTAAAAGTGTTGTTATTGTTATATGTTATTACTATTTACAATGAAGTACATGTGACATGATTTGATTATATGTTCATATTTATAGGAACTGCATTATTATTACGTTTTATATGCCTCATTAAGTCAACGACTTAGCGTGTAATTGTTTCACACGTAGGTTTCGAGAAGAGGAAGATTGATAAAAGTTATTCAAGACAGGTCAGTTTCTCCTTTTCAAAGATCAGATCAGAAAAAAAGTAAATAGATTGTATTTTGTAATATTGATTGAGGTCGGCATGTAAATAAAGATTTGAATCCGATATGTTTTAATCAGTTTTGTAAAATCATATGGTCGAGTTTTGTAATGTTTTAAATGTATATATGTAAATGGTAACTTTATACTAATGAAAGTTTAAGTTTTTATGAATTTTATATGTATTTTGCTGAAGTTACTGTAGCAGTGCATCAATACACAATTTATATTCGATGTTTTTGTGCATCGGTACACTGTAGCATTGTTCATACAATATAGTACTATTCATACCATATAGTATTGTTCATGAAAACGTTTGTTTTTCAAAATTGTTATAATGAAACATAATTCCACAAATATATGATCGTATTTTCTTAATATAAGTTCAAATGATTGATTATTTTGTAAGAAAATTGTTTTAAAAAGTCAATGTGACATCTTGGATTCGTATCCGGGTCGGGTACGTGTTAGGGGTGTTACAGAAGAAGGGGAGTGGATTAACAGGAGTTAATTGTCATGTCAGTAAAAACTAACGGGTGGTAATGACAAAAACATAACTGAAAACGAACTAAAAGTTCGATGTTTGTATTGCAAGTTTCAAAAGTTGGGTGACTAAAATGTAAGTTCCCTAAAATTTGGGGATTATTTATATACTTTACCCTATTTTAAATTAAGCATAGAAGAGGGACCAAGAGCAATTTTTACCAACTTTTTACACAGAATAATATTAAAATTATTCGAATATGGTGAGGTGGTAGCATCCAAAGGTGGAACGTCCACTCGTTTCACTTCAAAGTTCAATTCTTCCCTCAAATTCACTCAAACTGTTTACAAAATCTCAGCTTTCTCCATTTTCTTCCCCATTAAAACATTCCAATACTTTGTTTTTTCATTACTTCAACAATGGCAGACAAAGTATTCCCTTCCTCCAAGCTCACTGCCAATGGCAGCACTGGCGGAGCAGCTGCTGCCACAACAACCAGAGCCAACGGCGGAGCCACCAAATCCGACCTCATTAACCCCACGGCTCGCCTTCCGTACCGTCCACAACCTCATAACAGGCGGCGCCAGTACCGTCCACGCCGGAACTATTGTTGCTGCTGCTGTTTTTGGATCATCCTCGTAATCCTCGTGCTCACCCTTTTAGTAGCCATCACCGGCACTGTCCTTTATGTCTTTTACCGTCCTCATCGCCCTTCATTCACCCTCGATTCCCTCCGTATCCACCGCCTGAAACTCAAGACCGCCGCCGACGGCTCCTCCTCCCATCTTTCAACCCTTTTCAACTTGACCCTTTCTTCCAAGAACCCAAACTCCCATCTATCTTTCTCATATGACCCTTTTGTTGTTTCGTGCGTGACAAGCAACAATGATGTTTCGATAGGGAACGGAATGTTGCCGGCCTTCGTCAGTAACAACAAAGACGAGTCGACTTTCAGAGGGGTTGTCGTGGCGGCGTTAATGGATTTGGATGCGGAGGCTGTGAATGACTTGAGGCCAGAACTGAAGAAGGGCAATGCGGTGTTGCTCAAAGTGGACATGGATACTAAAGTGACGGCTAAAATGTTTGGCTTGAAGAGCAAGAAAGTGGGGATTAGGGTTACGTGTGATGGAATTAAAGGGTCTGTTCCGAAAGGTAAGTCGCCGGCGGTGGCGAATGTCGCCGGATCCAAGTGTAAGGTTGATCTCGGGATTAAGATCTGGAAATGGACATTTTGAGTACATTCATCGACAAATTTCTTTAAAATTTTCTTCAATGCTTTTGTTTTCATTGCTTTTGGTGTTTGTAAAAGAGATGACCCACCAACAATGTCTGTTGAGTCCAAAGGTGAGTCCAACAATATTGTATAAATAATGTTTTGAGTTTATTTTATTTAATATTCGATTTAACTCGATTCTAAATAAAATAATCGTATTGAATATCTCGAATTAAAAAGAAACAAAGAGTAAAAAGCAAATCAAAACAAATAATTCACATAATAACAGGTAAAAAATTTAAATGAATGATGAAAAGGAAGTTGACACGTATCAATAATCTAATGACCACTATAATCTATAAATAGAGGATAGATTTATCCTTATAAAAAGAGAAAAAATATGATCAGAAAAGAGGGCCTAAACTAGTTCGAATAATCGGCAAAATTGGCCCATTAGACCCAGTGGGATAATTATTTAGCTCAATAGGATATTTTGAATTTTATTATGAGATAGACGGTATCTATTACAATGACTTGAAATTCGTCACGTGAGCATGACGAGTTTGAATAAAATGTATTTTTTTATTAGAAACTTGTCACCCCGACGTGAGAAATTCTAATAAAAAATTATATTTTTTTGAATTCATCACTTTAACGTAACGAGTTTGAATAAAAAAAATTATTTAAACGGACTCATCATGTGAATGTGACGAGTTTCCCTTGTACTGTAACATTTGTCGTTGATCCTAAAATAAAATCTGACTTGACCTAATGGGCTAGTTTTTTTCCTCTTGGTTTATTGGGCCAATTTCGTCTGAAAAATCAAGCCATAACTCGATCCAGAATCACTCATTTCCTAGCCCGAGTTAGCCCAATTAGGCCTGTTTCCTAACAAGAAAGAGAGAATCGGATTCTTCTCTACAATTTCGTTTCACATCATTGCATCATTGCGGTTGCATCGCACCGTCACCGGCAAACACGAAACGTATTTATGCATTTTTTATTTATGAAATCTGGGTTTTGATTCTTAACATCTATTAAATATGGCAGATAAACCTCAACCGGTGAAAGTATTATACTGTCCCCTTTGCTCTCTTCCAGCAGAGTACTGTGAATTCGGTCCCGATTTCGAAAAGTGTAAGCCTTGGTTGATCAAGAACGCTCCTGAGCTTTACCCACATCTCCTTAAAGGTTTTTTTAACCCTTTTTTCTATATAAAATTGTTAATTAGTGTTCATGTTTTTTAAATTCCATGCCCCTCTGTTTGTTTACCGATGAAAAAAGATATGAACAAGACGATCTTTTTGTGTGGGATTTTTGGGTTTTTGAATTTTTGAATTTGGTCTCTTTGGAGATAGTTTTCTGACATGAATTGATGAAATGATCAGAAGTTTCTTTGATTTTTGCTATTTTATATACGTATATATGTGTGTATGTATGTATATGATTGTGTGTGCATTATATTCTCTTAACATCAATTGTATAACACCGATTTTAACACCCCCTTTTACTTAGTTTTGTTTTCTAAGGTGAAATTCTTATAGTTATTTAATGATTTCTATTTGGTGTTTCAGAGGCTAATGAAAAGGAGGCTGAGAAGGTTACTGAACAGCTCCAATCAGCTGGTATTTTCTCGTCTGCCGATGGGGCGGCCTCTTCAGCTCAACCAGGTTTAAATGACCTTCATTCATATGGAGAATATTTTATCACAAATAATGTCTTTAACAAAACAAAATTATTCATTCCCCCCTCTCCCCCTTGAAGAAGCAGTTTTATTCTCTGATCCAATGTTTTCGATTTTCAGGGAATGCATTGTCGTCTAAGCAAGAAGACCTAAAACGTCTTCCCGGTGGAAAAATAAAGAAGAAAGTATGGCTCATTTATTTTTTTTCTTCTTCTTTGGTGTTATGTGCACATGGCATTGTCAACCAAGTCATTGCCGTAGTGGAACGTCTTGGTTGACACTAGGTCCGGGATTTATACAACCCTTCCCTCTCCTTACAATTGCCTATATATATACACATGAAACATTTAAGGGGTGTTTTGAAGTTTTTGATTCCCAATCCCAATGTTTAAATAACCATTTTCTGAATTAGCTTAAGTGATCTGCAAGGACCAGGGTTGAGTGTTCCGATATTTCATGGAACCGGTTTTCCTGATCTCTGCTTTTCTTTATGATGTTGCTTTCATGTTCTAAATCATGTTAAAAATATTTTCGTAACTCTTATTCGAAGTCGTTGCTTGTGGACATTTACATAGGATATTGTTTATTAGGATGTGATCACGTGAGAATAACATATTCAAATCATCCTAATTGTTCCTTTTTTTTTTTTGGGGGGGGGGGTGTCATATAAAAGGAGAAACAAGAAGTTGTCATTGAAAAGGTTGTACGTAACAGGCGCAAATGTATAACCATTGTGAAAGGATTGGATCTATTTGGTGAGTTTCATTTTCACATTTTATCCTTTCCATCTATTTATTAGTTTCTTTTTTGTCAAAACGAGTTAATTTCAATGAGTTGGTTTTCAGGAATTAAGCTTAGTGATGCTTCGAAGAAGCTCGGGAAGAAATTTGCCACCGGAGCGTCAGTTGTTAAGGTGTATAAAAGTCATCATCCTCACTTTTAGTTTAGCATTCCATTATATTAGTTCCTCTGTTTCTTACAAACTTTTTGATGTTTGGTTTCCTTTAGGGACCGACCGAGAAGGAGCAAATCGATGTTCAAGGGGACATATCATATGATATTGTGGAATATATTACAGAGACCTGGCCTGCTGTAACATCTTCGATCATCTTATCTTCATTTCAAACTAGGAAAAATGCTTAATATGAGAAACATGGAACCATGCTCTTTTATTTTCTCCGTTTTTAGCAATTAAAAATGACTTTTCCTCCAATTTCTCTCATTGAAATAAATTTCAACCGAAAATATCCAAATTCCGAGTTAGGTTTTCTTTATTGCCTTGAAAGTGGGAGTATGTTGTTAATTGCTAATGCTAAAAGCTTTGATGAAATTTGATTATATTTGTTTCTGTGTTTTCCATGTTCTCAACCATTTGTTCACATAACGTTTAACGCATGCCTCCTTGCTAGAGAAGACGACATTACCGTTCTTTGGAATATTCACCGATATGTTTTTATGTTTGCTCCTCCCTCTCTGAACTTAATCTTGTATATTTGATGTTCCCTTTCAGGTGCCTGAAACTGCCATCTTCTTCATCGAGGACGGAAAAAAGGTCCCAGCCGCTTGATGCTAGAGAGCTTGGAGCCGGAACTCGGGACTGGGATTTCAAAAAGCACATCAACGAGCCAGTTCCACTTCGACTCGACATCACCATCTATCCATCCATCCATTGTTGGATAGTTTTCATGTGAATGATTGGTATTACAGAAAGAAAAGAGTAGATAGATAGAGAAATATCATAGCACTCGATGGATACTATGACAAGTGTTTTCTGGTGTATAAGACATATATGAGCTTTTATGGTGAATATGAATTGGTTTTTTCTGCCTTTTCAATGCTTTTTTCATTGTTGGATAATTATTTTATAACGTTAGATAAATTCAATGATCATTTTGTAATTTTTGAAAATTCAGTGACCTAAACAATAATTTTAGTATAGTTTGGTGACCTGTGATGCATTTTACCCCTTTTTAATATAGGTTTTTTTCTCTCCAATGATGGAATACGGATAGCAATAATGCCATCTTGTGAAGCTTGAGAAAATGGGAGAGTTTTGAACGCCAAACATAGAGATTGATGTGTTCTCAGGCTTCCTATCGTTCGTCTCGATGGCTGATTTTATCTTTTCCTTGATACGGTCTTTGACGGTTTGCCGTCCGATCTCTTGCGACGGAAATAACCCGAGAAGCGGTGCGCATTTGCTTCGGAACTCTGGATCGTTAGATGACGAGATGATGCCAGCAATTGTGCTTGCAAGGTCCGGGGCATAACTGCAAATCTGAAGTTTTATGACTACAAGTTACGCGTGATCTATTTTTTTCACACAATTTAGACATGGATCATGCTATAAAACCATGAACGGAATAAAAAATAGGGAAAAAACTAGGAATAGCTAAAGCTTATAATGATGTGGTGTAGATGGGGTTTGGTATACGGTTGTAATCAAGTCGAGTTGAGCATGAGCAGGGAGAAGCTCAAGTTCAAGCTCGATTCTAAATTTACTGCTCAAAACTTGGCTCAAGTTCAACCAAATAATATTATCTAAGCTCAAACTCGCTCAAAATAAAATAAAGTATTAGTTCTCCGCTCAATTACGCTTGTTTATATAGTTTAGACACTGAAGTCAAGTTCGAGCTGCTTCAGCTCGATCTCGATCTCATTCCATATTCAATAGCTCGAGTTTGGCTCGAGAATGACCAAATCGAACTTAACCTTTTTTCATTTAATCCAAGAGAATCACATGCATGTAAAACCATTAGAACTTCAAAAGAGATGGATGCTTACCTTCACAGCATGAGCACTGAGAAGAAACCCTGTGTATTTCCCCTTGAAATCATCCAATGCAAGTTTCACCGCCTTCTTTATTAGATGCCGATCAGGTTGATATTTATATTTCCCTGGATATATTATGACCTTGGCAACACAAGTCAAGGAATATATGTAACACTCAACGTTTTGAGAAATAAGAATAAGCTGCAATATGAAATCGAACCAAAATTATACTTGGACTTGGCGTAGTTTTTTGAGTGTTAGGGAGCATGTTGTGGCTGTTGGGGGGCTGCTGGGTGGGGCTTTCTCCTCAGTTAGCCCAGTGAGAGAGGAGATAAGATCGAAGGCGCAGAAGGTTCATTGGGATAGGATGGTTTGACACCTGGGCCATATCCCTAGGAACTCAGTTATTGCGTGGATGGTTGTGCTTGATAGGCTTCCCACAAAAAGTAGGCTCCTTGATTTTGGGATGCAGGTGGATGGCCTTTGTGTTTTGTGTAAGAGGGATTTGGAAACTCGCGATCACTTGTTTTTTCATTGTGATTTTTCTAGGCTGATTTAGGATAATGTTTTGTAGCTGTGTCGGCTGAGTAGAAGGGTGATGAGTT